CTCTCTCTCTCTCTCTCTCTCTCTCTCTCTCTCTCTCTCTCTCTCTCATCGTGTTTATTATCTCATCTTCTTCAAATCAAAAACACCTCACATGTATACAAGAACAACTAGTAATTAAACCACCATCCACTATCCACCACCCGTCCCCACCATTCACCGCTACCATTACCGCTTTTACCCAACTATTTCCACATGCTTGACGAAACTCCACCCAATAACCTTTATTCTCGATTTCGTCAATGCGAAACACAGTTGCCTCCTCTTCTATTGTTGTGAACTAACATTGATGGAGTGATTTCATTCGTTTCAGTCGTTATCTCTCACTGCTACCGCCGAAACCAGATCCGCACCGCCGAAAATGGATCTGCACCACATATGCAAACTGCCAGCTCCTCCCTTTTATGAATCTCGTAGCTCGTAGCCATCGTCGGATAAGGATAGAGATGAAACTCGAGGTCGCTGGAGCCACAACAAACCCTAGGGTCGCCACGATCTTCAGATCTGGAAATACGAAGCTCTAGTTTTTTCAGACCCACAAACGTTGTACCATTGACAACAATCTTCTATATCTACGATGACAAAGATAACGACATTCCAGATATGTGACAAAATCTTTAAAAGAAACTGTCGGTGGCTCTACAAGCCCTAGTAGCGACGACGACCCTGCAAACCTTAGTAGAAAGAAAAAGAAACATGTTTAGTTTGATATTTGTGGTGTGTGGTCATATTTCTTATTTATTCAACAAAAATGATGTTAATTTTAGGAAATTGAAAGGTTAGAACAATCTTGGATATCTGATTTAGCTTGTAAGAACATTTCTTGTTTTTTCCTCTGCATCGATTTAGAAATTTATTGGGTTTGTTTAACCGGTGGGAGATCATTTGTTTGTTTAACCGACTTTGAATGGAAATTCGTTTATATTTCCTTGTTTGAATAGAAATTGTATTACATTTTCTGGAAATCTCACTCATATAGGACGCAACTGTCATGGTTAGAGCTTTGATTCTTGTTACACTTTTTCATCTTATTAAGAGAGAGAGAGAGAGAGAGAGAGAGAGAGAGAGAGAGAGAGAGAGAGAGAGAGAGAGAGAGA